AGGAGGTTCCCAGGATCAGAACAGGGGCTAGTTCTCAGGAAAGGAAGCCCAAAAAGAGGGAGGGCACAGCCTGTATCCTCTCTGGTATGTCACACCTCTGGTTTCTCACATCCAAAGGATCAGATGGGGAAGGAAGCTGGAGGAAGGGAGCTTAGCGATTTGTGGAGTGTTCCTACCTTTCCAATAAATCAGGCAACTTCCCAGAGGGAGGCTTTGTTCTATTCTTCCTAGAACTGAGACCTTATGGGTGAAAATACCACACAATGAAAACAGAACAACAAAAACAACCAACAAAGCACAGTCAAAGGAATCAATAAAATATAAGACCCTGGCAGGGGTGCCCTGCAGCCTCTGAGAAAGTGTGCAGAATGGGCCCCTTCATGCGGTGCCTTCCATGGTCAAACCTAAGGCCAGCTGAGGCTGCCCGCACTTAGAGTCATCTTTCCACCATTCACGTTGGGCTTGTGGTTGCCTCAGACGCCAGCCTCGAGGCTGAGTCAGAACCAGCTTCCTCTTGCAGGAAATGCATGGGTCTTACACTGAATGATGTCCCTGAGCCCTTAGATCAGGGACTCTGAATGCTATTATCATCTCCACTTTATAGATGGGGAAACTGAGGCGGGGTGCCCAGGAAGTGCTCAGAGTCATACCTCTTGGAATTGGGAAGGCAGGACAGGCGCTCAGGCTGTCTGAGGACATGGCCCATGTGCTAATTCAATGCCTCAACCCAAGGACAGGGGCCACATTGATTCAGTTCTCAAATATGCACAGTGCCCAAGCACTCAGCACTGCGTTTTACACAGAGTAGGTGTCTAGATATTGTTTGGGGCCCCCAGTGAGACTGTAGTAATTATTTTTCTCGGTGCTTCAAACCCCTGGTTTATCTTCTTCCTGTTCAATTCTCCTTGCTGTTGTCCTCCTTATAGTGGTCTGATGTTTATACAGTGTGACCTAATGCCAAGCACTGCCTTGGAAGGTTTCTACCTACCATCTCATTTAACCCTCACTAGAGCCCTGGGAGATTCGTATCATTGCTCCCATTTCAGAGATGAAGAAACTGAGATTCCGAGTGGTCTAGTCATGTAGCTAAGGTCACATGGTGCATAAAGAACAGAGGATGGCCTCAGACCCAGAGTTGTCCAGCTGTCCAGCTGTCCAGCCTCCAGCCTGGTTCTTTTTCCATCATCACCCATCCTAGCTCCCCCTTCTTTGGCTTCTGACAGGTGTTGTCCTGATGTTGTCACCCACTGTTGACCAGGGACTGCCTGAATGTTTGCTTTAAGTTCCTATTGAGGCACCTGAGTTCCTCCAGGGCAAGGACCTTGACTCTTGGGACTCACTGGAGCTTTCCTGGGGCTGGATACACAGAGGATGCTCTGTGTAGCATAGAGCAAAACCCCTAAGCTCCCATCTCCAGAATTGAGCTTTCTGCACAATTGCAACTAAGGCACTGCAATATCTGAAGGTGCCTTCTGAATCATCAATTTCACTTTGAAGATTGCCGACCTATTTGGGGTAGATTTACGGTAGCCCCTTGGGTTGTTTAGGACAGGAAGCCAAAACAGTACTTTTTTTGCAGAAATTACAGCAATTGGCCAGGACTCATGAGACCCCATAGTCTCCCTCTTCAGAACATGACCAGAGGCAAATCACTTAACTTCTCTGTGCCTCAGTTTACTCGTTAGTAAAGGAGGAATAATGGTATTACATGAACTATCCATTCATCCATCCACTCACCCAACCACCCATCCATCCACTCAATATTCAACAAACATATATTGCATACCTACCGTGTGCTCAGGCCCTGTGCTAGGTATTTGGGACATATTGTGATCAAAACATAGATCCATGTCCACGTGGAGTTTATTTTCCAGTGGGAGGGTCGAACAATAAACAACACACACACAATACCAAAGTAAGATATACAGAAGGTGGGGGACCAGGCACAGTGGCTCAAGCCTGTAATCCCAGTACTTTGTGGGGTGGACAGATCACTTGAGGTCAGGAGTTCAAGACCAGCCTGGCCAACGTGGTGAAACACTGTCTCTAAAAATACAAAAATTAGCCTGGCGTAGTGGCTTACACCTGGAATCCCAGCTATTTGGGAGGCTAAGGCATGAGAACTGCTTGAACCCAGGAGGTGGAGGTTGCAGTGAGCGGAGATCTCACCACTGCACTCCAGCCTGGGCATTAGAGTGAGACTCTGTATCAAAAAAAAAAAAAAAAGTGGGGAAAAAAAATCAATCTGGGGAGGGGGCTCAGAGTGTGGAGGGAGGAGCTGCAATTCTAAATGGTTTGGTCAGGGTAGGCCTCGTTGATAAGCTGCAAAGAGTAGAAGGAATTTAGGAGGTTGACCAAGAGAATGCTCGGAGAAGAGTGCTCCAGGCAGAGGGAATGGCTTGTGCAAAGGTTCTGAGGCAGACAGTGTGCTGAGCATGTCCGAGGAACAGCAAGGGTGCCAACGTGGCTGGAGTAGATGAACGAGGCAGACAGGAGTAGGGAATGACAACAGGGAGGTGATGAGGTGGGAAATTGTCCAGATTGTGGGCCGTTGTCCAGATTTAGCTTTTTCTCTGAGTGACATGGGAGCCAGTGGAGCGTTTAGCACAGCAGAGGGCCAAGGTCGTTACAGAGTGGTTCGGAGGGAGGGTCACAAAATCCCCACATGGATGATTTCCTTTTCCGAACCCCCATAAAAATGAGTCAGTGCCCTTTGTTTACAAACCATGCAATTCTCTTGCCCTGTCCTCTTTCCTCCCCTCTGAGAGCTGTCCAGCAGCAGCACACCTGCCCACTGTAGAGGGTCAGGCCTGGCAGCCCTGGAGGGAAGCTGGTTGCAGGGCAGAAAGAGAAAGCAGGAAAAAAGCAATTTGCCCTATACCCCTCTCAGCTCCCCGAAGACCACACTGGACCCTGAGTGCAGTTCCACTTTCTGGAGTCACGTGAGATCAGAAATAAAAATATTACCTCCCAAGGGAGGAAACACAGTTAAATAACAGGAACCAGCACTCTCGGAAGGAGGGGGTGGGAGGGGCTGGAGTGTCCGGCAGCAGTTTGTGAAGGCACATGTGGCTGGGGCGGGAGGGGCTACAGCCAGGGAGAGAGGAAGGTTCTGGCTTCTCCCCCAGTTGGCATCTGTGCCGTCATCGAGACCACACTGGCTGTCTGAACCCCTGTTGAGAAGCCAAGGGAGAGTGTTTGGGTAGTAAAGATGCCCCCTTGCCTAGCTGTCTGTTAGGAGGAAGAGAATGAAAGATGAGGTCAAGAGACGATGGAAACCACTTGGGTGAGAATTTGACCACAAAAAGAGCCAACCCCGTAGAAATGTATGTCTTGGCAGGAAAGTTGGTAAACAGCATTGACCTGGTGCCCAAGATAAGGCCGCCAAAATGCATTTGATGCCCTGAAGGTTAAGTTGAAGATCAAAGCTTGTCTGTCTTCAAATCTAGCCTTCACCACTTCCCACCTGGGGGACCTGGGCAAGGTGTGTCACCACTAGGCAGAGTCTGTTTTCTTCTTTAAGTGTTAAATACGGATGAGGATCAAAGGGCTCAAGGTCAAGGGAGAAGTAAGAGGGTTCTAGATTGTGGTTAGGAAGTTTCTGGCACACTAAATACTCAATAAATGTCAATCACTGTTATTCTCTCAAGACTTGCATTTCAGAAGGAGATAGAACTAACGTCGTCTTTAGAAAGTTATGACCATGTCGGATGCGGTGGCTCACGCCTGTAAGCCCAGCACTTTGGGAGGCCAAGGCGGGAGGATCACTTGAGCTCAGGGGTTTGCGAGCAGCCTGGTCAACACAGTGAGACCTCATGTCCACAAAAAGTAATTTTAAAAAAGTATCCAGGCATAGTGGTACCTGCCTGTGGTCCCAGCTAGTTGGGAGGCTGAGGTGGGAGGATCTACTTCAGCACCGCAAGTTGAGGCTGCAGTGAGCTGTGATCGTGCCACTACACTCCAGCCTGGGCAACCAAACAGACTCTGTCTCAAAAAAAAGAAAGAAAGTTGTGACATTGCAATGGAGGGAGGACTTCTTTGTAACTGGGTAGGAGACGTAAAAAGTTGGAGGAGCCAAGAATGTGAGCAGACAGAGTACAGTACAGGCTTGTCTTTCCGGTTTAAGATGATTGTGTCACCAATGCTCTTAAAAATAAGGCATTCATTCTCTCTCCCTCCAAGCGAGTTCTTATTCTCTGTTTCTCATCTTTCTTTCCCCTACCTTCTCCCTTTTTCTCTTCCTCCGTCAGCCTCCCCTTTCCTTCCTCTCCCTCTCTTTTCTCCCTGTCTCTGCCTGTCTGCCTGTCTCTTTCTGTCTGTCTTTCTCTTCCTTCCTTTCTCGCTCTCCCTCTGTCTCTCGGTTTCTGTCTCTGTGTGTCACACAGACACACACATGCACACATAAGCAAATGCATGCAAACGCACACATGCTCATGCACACACATACACACAAGGTGAGCTCTGCTTTCAGCTCTTTCTCTGGCTCCTCCTTTCTCTGCACCCCATTTCTCTATTGTTTTTTAGATGGAGTCTCCCTCTGTTCCCGAGATTGAGTACAGTAGCACAATCTTGCCTCGTTGCAACCTCTGCCTTCCGAGTTCAAGCAATTCTCCTGCCTCAGCCTCCTGAGTAGCTGGGACTACAGGCACCCACCAGGATGTCTGACTGATTTTTGTATTTTTTAGTAGAGACAGGGTTTTGCCATGTTGGCCAGGCTGATGTTGAACTGATCTCCGGTGATCCACTTGCCTTGGCCTCCCAAAGTGCTGGGATTACAGGCATGAGCCCCTGCGCCCGGCCCCATTTCTCTCTTTTTGACTCACACTGATTGTGCCTGCATCCATCTTCCCCACTAGACTGCGGGCCCCTAGAAGGCAGGAGCTGATCTGTCCATCCATGCCCCGTTAATGTTGGTGTATCATCAGGGCTCAGTGAGTGAACCCAAGCAGGCATTTGGCTGCATGCCCCTGGGATGGTTCCTTCCAGTAGAGTGGGAAGCACACCGTACGCTCCAGCACACCCAGCAACAGAGACAGTGCTCCAAGTTTTCACTGCTCCTGCCAGCTCACCAGACACCAGTCTGCCTTCCCGTTGACTTCCCTTTCAGAGAGGAGGGAAAAATCCTTGAGCTGCCTACAGTCTGTCATTGCTCTTTGATTAAAAGTGATGCCAACTTACCATCATGGTCACTGTGGCCAGGGCCCCTCTCGGCTGCTGGGGGCTGCAGCCCACTCCGGGCCCACCCCAGGAGGGCCAAGTCCAGGTCTCCTTTCTCTAGTAGGGTCAAAGAGATCTTCCTGGCCAGAGCCTCACTATCAGGCTCATGGAGCAGGGTGCAGTGGTATTCCCTGGAGAGGAGCTCCTCCTTCAGCAGGTTGTCCAAGAGGGCCTGCACCTGGCTGGGCTGATGGCTGGACAGCAGTACTCGCACCTGAGTCAGGATGGCCTGGAAGTTGTTCATGGCAGCCCTTGGAGTCAGGGCAGCTGCCCTGGCCAGTGCCTGGGATCTCTGCTCACCCGGCGTGCAGCATCCAAAACATGAAGTGAAAACCAGGACGAGGGAACCTCTGCAATTTATTACAGTTTATTTCTACTTAGGAAGATTTCCTCTTTTGCGTTGTAGGCTGGGGTTCCTGAAGAACGGATGGATATTGGCTTTTGGGTTGATTCAGACTCCACAGGTATTCTCTGGGTCCTACCCAGGTGCATATGCCAGAGAAGCCCACAGTCTTCTGTTGGAGCTAATCTCGTATTGCTAAGAGGAAGGCAACATGCCTCTGTAGAGGACCTAAAGGGTAATAGGTCTTTTCGGATGTTTTATCATAACAAGAAGGCATTGTGGTATACAGGTTAAGCAAATAGGCTTGGAGCTAATCTGCCTATGTTCAAGTCCCAGATCTGCTCCTTGACAATTATGTGACTTTGGGCGTGTTAAGTAGCATTTTTTTTTTTTTGGCAGGGTCTTGCTCTGTTGCCCAGGCTGGTGTGCAGTGGCGTGATCATACTCACTGCAGCCTCAAGTTCCCAGGCTCAAATGAACCTCCTATCTCTGTTTCCCGAGTAGCTGGGACTACAGACTCACACCATCATGCCCCGCTAATTTTTTATTTTTTGTTTTTAACAGAGACAGGGTCTCACTCTGTTTCCTAAGCTGGTCTTGAATTCCTGGGCTCCAGTGATGCTCTTGCCTCAGCCTCCCAAAGTGCTGGGATTACAGGTGTGAGCCACCAGCCTGTCTTAATTAGCATTTTTAGTCTCTGTTAACAGTACTTACATTATAGGGTTGTTGGGAAGATTAAATGAGATAACAGAAATAGAGTTCCTAGTGCATTATCTACAACATGATAATAATACAATAAATACAAGCCATCATTATCATTATTAGTGATTAATCATGCAAACTACTATCACCTTGAGTTTAACCTCACAAAACCTCAGTCTCCTCATCTGCAAAATTTCCCACTAAAAGCAATCCAAGCTCATATACATTTAAGGGGCTTAACACTGGACCTAGTAAGCACTTAACAAATACTGACTATTTGTTAAGACTATCCCCAACTTACTAATGCACAAAACTGAGGATTTGCATAGAAGTCAGTCTGGTTTATGATTCTAAAAATCCCCAACCCAGTTTTAAAGAACCCATAGGCGAGTGTTCTCCTGCCCATTCTGTAACACGCCGTGACTTTGTTTCCCTCCAGACTCAGGACTACCATCTCTCAGATGGGGCCATTTGCATTATTCACTTAAATGAGACAAAGGATTTCCATTTCCAATATGGCTGACCAGCTCCCATATGATCACTACCACAGGTAACAACTATAAACTCTGGGGAGAATATAAAAAACAACTATCTGAAGGCACTGGAGAGTGACAGGCCACGCAGATACCGGAAGGGAGTCAGCACATGGAAAATGAGAATATCACCAGTGAATTTCCTAGTTCGTGAGTTTAGTCTGAAGGCAAATTTCAATCAGTGCTGTGCAGGGCAGTTAAGACTCTTATTTTAAAAAGGGGGAAAAAAAAAAGGCTGGGCATGGTGGCTCACACCTATAATCCCAGGACTTTGGGAGGCCGAGAAGGGAGGATTGTTTGAGCCGAGGGGTTTGAGACCAGCCTGGGTAACATGGAGAAACCCCATCTCTGCTAAAATTACAAGAGTTAGCTGGGTGTGCTGGCTCCTGCCTGTGGTCCCAGCTACTTGGAAGTCTGAGGTGGGAGGATCACTTGAGCCTGGAGAGGTTGAGGTTGCAGTGGGCTGTGATAGTGCCACTATGCTTTACCCTGGGCCACAGAGTGAGACTGTATCTAAAAAAAAAAAAAAAAAAAGGAAAGGTTTACTGCCCTTTACAATCAGAGGATAGAATTTGGGGCAAAAATAGCTACTGGAAAGTAGAAATCCCAGACAGAGAGGGAGAAAAGAGTAGCCCCAAATTCTGTGTATAACTGCCCAAATATCTGGCTGGCCTGTGGACCACGTATGTATTCATAGGTCAGACTCCAAGCAGCTCAGCTAAGGCTGAGCTAAATTTTGAGCTGCAATGGGTGTAGGGGTAGGAGATTTTGCATTTGATTCCAGCCAAGTTATATCCCTACTGAAATAAAATCCAAAAATATTAACGCTGTTCAGATTATAACAGAATCCAGGGTGTTTATGACATATCCCTAATGTCCTGTGTTCAATACAGTAATACTTGACATAGGCCAGGTGCAGTGGTTCATGCCTGTAATCCCAGCACTTTGGGAGGCCAACGCAGGTGGATCACAAGGTCAGGAGTTCAGGACCAGCCTGGCCAACATGGTGAAACCCTGTCTCTACTAAAATTACAGAAATTAGCTGGGGATAGTTGCGGGCACTTGTAATCTCAGTTACTCAGGAGGCGGAGGCAGAGAATTGCTTGAACCCAGGAGGCAGAGGTTGCAGTGAGCCAATATCGAGAGCCACTGTACTCCAGCCTGGGTGACAGAGCAAGACTCTGTCTCCAAAAAAAAAATAAAAATAAAAACAAAATTACTTGACATATAAAGAAACAAGAAACAAGTAACATTTTCAAGAGAAAAAGACAATCAATGAAAATGCCTCAAGATGATGCTGATGTTGAAACTAGCAGACAATGATTTTTAAAGCTATGATTATAACCATGGAGGAAAAAGAAATCAAAGATGTAAAGGAAAATACGCTCATCAAAATGAAAAGATAGGAAATTTTAGCATAAAAATAGAAACCATAAGAAATAGAATCTATTAAAAAAAATAACCAAATGGAAATTTTCAAAGTGAAGAACACAATGCATGAAGTTTTAAAAGTCACTGGGTGGAATTAACAGCAAAATAGATATGAAACAAGAAAAAGATTTTTAAAATGGTACAGTAGAGGTTATTCAATTTGAAGAACAGAGAGAAAATAATTTTTTAAATGAGCTTCAAGTATTTGTGGCATAATCTCAAAAGGTTCAACTTATACATATATAAAGTCACAGAAAGGGGAGAAAGGATGAGACAGAAAAGGTATGTAAAGAAATAATAGCTAATGTGTTCTCAATAAAGATGCTTCTAATGAAGTAACTCAGGAATGGAAAACGAAACATCATATGTTCTCACTTGTACATGAGAGATAAACTATGAGGACGCAAAGGCATAAGAATGATATAATGGACTTTGGGGTCTAGGGCGAAGGGTTAGGTGGGTGAGGTATAAAAGACTACACACTGAGTAGAGTGTACACTGCTCAGGTGGTGGGTGCACCAAAATCTCAGAAGTCACCACTAAGGAACTTATCCATGTAGTTAAAAACCACCTGTTCCCCCCAAAACTATTGAAATTTTAAAAAGTAGAAAATGGGGACAAAAGATGTGACTATGGAAGACTAGTCAAAGAGATACAATGTTACTGGCTTTGGAGATGAAGGAAGGAAGTCACAAGCCAAGGTATGTGGGTAGCTTCTAGAAGCTTGAAAAACCATGGAAATAGCTTCTGTCCTGCAATCTTCAGACGGGAATCAAATTCACCTTGATTTTAGCCCACTGAGACCCACGTAAGACTTATACAGTAATGGTAACAAAATAAATTAGTGCTATTTTAAGTTAAAAAAAAAAATGGCCAAAGCCTTTTTTTTTTTTTTTTTTTTTTTAAGGAATACAAATTTGAGAAGCCTAGCAAATCTAAGTAGGATAAATGCAAGAAAACCACACCTAGGCACATAATAGCCAAACTTGAAAACCAAAGCTAAAAAGAAACTCGTGAAAGCAGCCAGTTCAAAATAACACAGTACATATAGGAGAACACCTGAATGATCACCGACTTCTCATTTGAAACCATGGCGGCTGGAAGACTGCGGAAGAATATCTTAGAAGAGATAAGATTTTAAAATATGTTCATCCTGAGTTCTACATTCAGTGCAAATATCCCTCAAGAATGCAGACAGAAATAGACATTTTCAGATAAAAGAAAGCTAAAAAGATAGGTTGCAGGAGATCTGCATTACAAGATGATGAAACAGCAAACAGTGGGTACACAGAGCCAGGGATAAGGATCTGTTGTTCTAATCACTTAATAAGTCTGCTTTGATTGTTCCTGTCAATCCAGTGACCACTTGTCATGTGCTTGCTCGAGAAAACCTGGGTGCCAGCCTCCAGTTGGCCACTGACTCACTGTGCCATTACTGGCAAGACACTTCCTCTCTCTGGACCACAATGTCGTCACCCATGAAACACACAAGTTGGATTACATGGTCCCCAGGATTTTTCACTTCTGAAATACTACATTTTCCAGGGAGGTGTTACCTAGTTGCAGAACCCACTGGTTTTGAGCTCAACAATATTCCCCTGCAATTAATCACTGGTGTATTACTTCTCCCAACTTTACTTATTCAGAGCTTCCTGCATGATTTTTTTTTTTCTCCTCCAAATCACATGCAATCTGTACTATTATTTACCTAATATTTTGTTCTACTCTGTCTTACTGATTTAATTTCTTTTAAAAGGAAATTTCCTATGTTTATCACAATTGGAAAGACAGCATCCCTTGTGCAAGAATAGTAGACAACTATAACAACAACAACAACAAAACAACCCAGGCAGAATGTAAAATGATAATACAAAAGTTTAGATTTCAGTTTGCTCGAGTTTCTGATCCTGGGTACCTATCTCCCTTTGCGACAAAAGGTAGTTAGCAAGCATTAGAAAGGTATTAAGGATAGAGTGGCACCAAGCTAAAGCTCTCTTGCATCAACAGATAAGTAAAAATGTTAAGGGTGTAGACAAACGGGAATTCTACTTTGCTGGAGAGCATGTAGAATGCTGTAATTGCTTAGGGTAGTAATTTGGTAATGCCTATAAAATCATTAGATTTCCACTCTTCAGTATATATGCCAGAAAAATTCTTACACGTGGGCATTATGACACACGAAACAGCTTTATCTGTGCTAGAAAAAAAAAAAAAAAAAAAGAAAGAAAAATCACCATAAGAATAGATAGAAATGTCTTTTATAAACATTCTGGAGTACGTACGGCTTTAACCAATTACACTTAACAAACCTAATCAAAGTGTAGGAAGCTGATGTTTGTTAAAAATAAAGTTATTTAAATAAATTACACGTTGGGACATTGAGTGAGTTTTAAAGGTTTAATAGTTGAATCTTTTATCATCTTCTCTCCTTCTGTTTCATCACAGTATAGTGTTACATGTAAAAGTGAATCCATAAGCTATGACCTGGGACTGCTGCATTCTAAGAAGAGACCCTTAACACAGGTTGCTAAAGGTATAGCATTCAGATATAGGTATTCTAGAATCTTCTCCTCATGAGCTCAGCTGCTAGTATGGTCTCCACACCAATGGTAGCATTGGTCATCTATGATTACCAACCTGTAATTCCTTCCAGAATTATCGTAAGTTATTTGCCATCAGGGCTCTCTGTGACTGCTCTTCCACAAAAAAACTGGTCATTTTAAAGAAAATACTGTTCA